CCCCCCCCCCAAAAAAATCTGCTACTCTGTCTTTAGGGCAATGGATGGATAGATAGATTGATTGATTGAAGAGGAGCTTCTAGCTTCTGAGAACTGAAGTACTGCTCTGGAGTCTTATTTGCAGAGAACTTGCATTGGTGCTAGTTTGGGGAGAGGGGGAGAAGTGCCATGTAGTTTATCTTGGCTTCTCTTTGTTTTAAATTCAAACTTCTCTCTATTTTGCTGTCCTGGGAAAGCATTGTCTTGTCAAAATGGTGGGGAATTCAGTCTTCTGTTTTCATTTATGACTCAGCAAAATCAACAGACTGTGTTAAATTACTTAGGATGCTTTGATGTGAAGTGATTTCCTGTGTATGTGAAGTGGAGAAAGCCAAACCTATTATATTACTGGATACTGTTCGATTTAAAGCAAAGGTGCTGATTTTGATCCTCTCTTCCAAATATGTTGATCATTTCCATTTCCTTTCATTCAATTGCCAACAAAAATGTGATTATTTAAATCATATGTAATGTGGCTGCCTTAGTGAGCACTTGTATTAGGACCAGTCCTGTGCTGTGTGATGCATAGTGTCTAAGGTTTTCTCTAAAGATAAAACTAGCAAGCTCAGCAAAGAATTTCAGGAGAGTGGGACTGACCACTGTATAATCCTTGGTCTAGCACTGGCCCTTTTCCAAGCATTTTGTTCTCTAAAGGTGCTCTGTCAGACAGTCATCACCCAATACAGAAACCAGGAAACAGGCGGTGCCTCATGGGTTGTAAAGGGAAGTGCCCAATGCTAATGATCAGCCTATGGAGAAATCTCAGTGAAAGCTAAGGGTCTTTCTGTTGCAAGCATTGAGAGATTGATTTACTTATGCTGTGTGAGCAGAGCTCTTTGCATCATCCTTATGTTTTTGGACTAAGTGCTGCGCCCTATTTGCAAGGGTTAGCTGATAATCTGTTAGACTTTGTACAAACCTCCTTTTGGAAGCTGTTGTCCATAATAAGAGTCCTTTAACCATGGATGGTTAAAGGTAATTTGGGAGACTGAATATTTTTGAAAGAAAAGTAGTGCAAGGTACCAGTACTCTTGCTGCAGAATCCTGCTTTCTTAACCTCTGTCATCATGGTAAATTTTGCTTTTCTCCTTCAAGACTGCATGGGTGAGACGTACTGTGATACGGGTAAAATCAGAATCCAATATGCAGAGGCATTACAGGTAACATTCTCCTTGAAGAAAGCTTTTTTTTGTGGGGTATGTTAGTTTTTTGTAGAAAACCTTCTCTTGGGATCAGCTGGCTGTAAATTGCAGTAAACCTTTGTTGTCATTGTGAATCAGGATACATCATGAAATTTTCTGTAACTGAGGGAAGCCGGCAGTTAAGCGTCTGTTAATAGCCTGAAAGTAACTAATGAGGATGTGCAGTCGGAGCGATTGATTGAATAGCTGCAGTCCTGTGTGTTTCTTTCTCGCTTGTGCGCTCGCTCTCTCTTGCTGGCTCCCTCTCTCTCTTTCTGTGTCTCTGCAAGCTGTAGAGAGGGAGGGGGAAAAGAGAGAACCAGCTATCTCTTAAGTGGAAGTAGCACGGATCCCAAGGGCCAGGAGGCCAGAAATGGAAGTTTAAGCTGCATCTCTCTCTTGAAAGGAGAACAGCAAGAGTCAAAATGTCAGTCTCCGGAGTCACAGTTCACTCCTTTTCTTTAAGATCCAGAAGATAACAGTGGACTTTTTATTGGGATGTGATTTTTCTTATCCATGTTGAGAATGTTTTATAAAGCTGGATTCCTGTAAGTCTAGTATTTGAACTGGAGATGGGCAGCAGTTGTGATAAAGGTATACATATATATGTATGTATATAGTATGTGTGTGTGTGTGTGTGATTTGTTTTTTATTTTGTGCATATGATGTAAATCAGTAGAACTGGATATAAGTGCGTCTTTTATAAAAATCTGAGCTTGTCAGATCTGCCTACAAAGGTTTAAGATGCCAAAGTCATATCTTTGTGAGGTCATATTTCCAGAACAAGGAGAAACTGACCTATTTTTATACCTGCAGAAGTATATATGTAATTTTATCCAGGCAGCTATAAGTCTTCTGATGGTCTTTCAATTTGAGATAGCAGTGGGATCACATTATCTGCATGAGACCAAACTTTGACCTTTGTCAAATCATGTTCAGTACAGGATAAAATTATGATATCTGTGTCCTCGATTTGATTTTGCAGTATTAATTGCTATACTGCTGATGGTTTAAAAAATAATTTAAAGTTCTCAGAGCTGTAGGTAGCACATTTTAATTGGGTATTGGGTATTAAATACATGTGGGAAATGAGCTTTACCAATGTTTTAATCTTAACAGCTTATTTGCTGTAAAACCAAGTCAGATTCCTAACTTTGACCTTGTCATTTGTAATGTCTTTGTAATTTCATAAGTAAATAAACTATTGATAAATATAAAAAAACAAATTCAGCTTTTTGATAATGCACCTGAAAGTTTGTAAAGGCTTCTCTTCAGAATGGGATATAACCTGGTCATTTTTCTTTCAGTTTCCTTACCTACCTTTGTTTTGTTTTGTTTTCTTTCATAGAAGTCCCAGCAGAGAGATCTCCTCGCAGACGGAGCATCTCGGGGACCAGTACATCTGAGAGAACCAATTCCATGGATGCTTCAAACACCTCTCCTTTCAAAGTGCCAGTAAGTGTGCCTCCTGTACAAGGGAGGATTTTTTTCCTATTGGATTACAGTACTGGATTTAGAAGAGCCAGCATATCTAGTACTCAGTTTATTGATTCAGGTTTATAACTTAATAGTTTCAGTTGAACAAAAGTATGCACATAAGCCACCATAAATCATGAGAACATTTTTTGGAACCTCATACTTACCTGCTCTCCACAGATTGATCCAAAGTCTGTAATGTCATAGACTTTAAAATCAAATGGAGAGGTGATCATCACCAGCCTAATTTCAGCATGGCCAAGATACCGGTGAAGTCGCTATGCAGACTTTGTGCTGGCTATCTATCTAATTTCATATCCAAAAAGACCTTTATTTTGGGTGAGGTCACTGGTGATACACTGCTTTTTATTTTATGAGTGGAATATTGTAGGAGGTTGCAATAGCTAACAGTTTATTTTCAAGTTAGTGAGCATGATCTCTGCAGGTGCAAATTGGTTTTAATTATTCAGTTTGTACAAGGAGCTCAGCTGGTGGTTAGTCTGGATTAAACTTTCAAGTAAGAAGTCTCGATATCCTTGCCAGCATCTTTTGATTTCAGTTGGTGTATCCAGACCAACAGCCTTAGGGCTTTCCTTTTATTATTAGTCTGGAAGGAGGAGGACTTTGTCACAACACAAGTGAAGGCAAAATGAAGTGCCTTTTAATACTTTATCTACTGAGCTAGGGATGCTTTAAAGAGGGAAGGTCTAGTTTTATTATTGTACAGATTTTTATATTCCTCTCTGGTATGCGAGGGCCTCCTTAAGGGCTTGAAAATTAAAAGAATTGTCACTATGGTTTTTGGCTCTTCTATGGGGAGTGAACACTGATTTGTCTTCCTGTGCTTTTTATGGAGACCAATGTGATTCCATTTTTAATTGTTTGCCTTTTTCTACCTAAATCACTAAAAGCCTCAATTAATTATCTCAATTCTAGGAAGAATATTTTTTAGCTAACTTAAGATGCATAACTTTTTATATACATGTTTTCTCATGAGGCTCTGCAAAATGGTGTTCATCTTCTAGTTAATGGATAAATGAGTGGTGGATTCTTTGATTTTTTTTGTAATGAATCTTGTTAATATTAAGGCAGATCAGATTTTCTTGAAGTTACTCTGATTTCTCTGTTTAAGCCAAACCTTAAACTCAGGACTCACTGGAATTTTAAAAAGAAAAAAAAACTCGTTATCTCAAAGATTGATCTTCCTAACGTCTTTTAAATTCACCAGTCTGGTAGATATAAAGATCGTTCTGTTTGATATAAATATCATTCTGTTTGAGTATCCGCACTCAGCTCTTCAGTTTTTATGCAAGTCTTATAATGAGATCGGAAGTTGAACTTCTGCATCTATTGAGGGACCGTGAAAATGCATTTTCCCCAGTTTAAAGACATTTAGACATAGATAAACATTCATATAGATAGTTTTTTCCTCTTAATGTGCTATATTCTAAATGGCACCTGCAAAAATCTTTAGTCTAATTGCAGAATGTACTTGCAATAATTTTACGTGATATGTAAGGTTGTGGATTTTATAATGAACTTTGTGGGCAGTTCCTATAGGCAGCATGAGGGCTTCTGGATTCTAAGAATTTAAGGACGTTTTAGTCACTTATATTCAGCCTGACTATATCTATAAGACCTAGTTAGCCTGTGTGTGTGTGTGTAAATAAATGTGGTGCTCCACATTTACAGCTTATCTATCAGTCACAAACTATATTTAACATAACTGTGCACAAAATCAATAACAACCTAGTTTTGTTTTGCATTTCTTCATCTTTCCCCTTGCTTTTTTTCCCCTTCAAATGTTTCTTTCATTTCCTTGTATTTTTCCTGTATTTTGGCAAGCTTTTAACAGTCTATTATACTCACTTCCTTTCACACTACTCTTCAAAGGTATTTTGGTAATTCTTTGTGTACTGTCTCAATTTCATTCTTTCTTACAGTTTAAATGGGATGTTAAGACTTCTAAGGCAAAGGGGACGTAGGAGGCTGCCTGTGCCCTCTGCTTTTGGTTATATGCCTACAAAGAGTAAACGCTGTTTGTGCACTTGTGCAGCTGGTATTGTGCTTTCCTGTCTGCCTGGCCACCTGTGTACCTGCAGGCCCGATGTGCCCTCCTGATTCTTATATAAAGGACAAGCCTACTGGCTTTTCTAGTTTTCTCTGAATGCTCTATCTTGCATGCTGTGGTTAAAGTTGAAGAGTAGAGCAGATGAGATGAGAATTCCCTGTGTACAAATGCTGGACAATGCAATCCTCTAAACTTGTTACTGCAAGGTTTTGATGGCAAAAGTTAAAGCACTTATGAGTAGAGATGGACCCACACCTAAAATACTGATGGCAAATATCCCACAAATTCTGTGGGTTCAGTCCAGCTCTGCTTATGAGTAGGAAGAAGCAAAAGAAAACTTTTATCTTGATCCATATTAAGCTTTTTCTGGATTGAGGAGATGAGATTGTACCAGAATAAAGCCCCAAAACTAGTGCCATGAGAATGGCTAGGAAAGAAGGGTGTGCCTGAAATAGCTTTAAAAATGTTTGTGAGGTTTTCTTCATCTCGATTGGTGTCTGTTAGTAGGCAGAAAGAAAATGGAAGTGGAATACTACACCTGTTTTTTTTTGTCATTGATATTTGCTCTGACGAGTTAAAGTGGCAGAAAATCAGTCAACACGCAGTTCTGTTTCAGGTTTGTTTGTTTTTTCTTGGCTTGATTTTTAAGTATGACATCCCTCCTTACCGTCTGGGGATGCAAATGTGCCATAAGACAAGGGACAGCTTAACCTTCTTCATATACCGATTAAAAAAATGCTGGGATTTTGAAAACAAGATGCATTTACAGCTTTCTATGCTTCTGTTCTCACACAAGAGCTGTTGAAAAACCTTCTTTTCAAAAGAATGTTGATTCCAGTATATTCTATGCAGCTTTTTCTCTAAGCTACAAATAGTAGAACTTGCACAGAAAAAGGCATCCATTTTTTTTTTGGGGGG